ACAGGCCAAACAGCTGCAGATTTTCATTTCGAGATCTTTGAAATTCATTGTAAGTAATCATCATGCGTAGAACAGGGGAATGAATATGGGCAATTGAACGAACATGGGGGATTTTAAAAAAAATTAAATTTGCTCTTGTTCTAGGATCCGGGACGTTGAAACCTATTAAAGAAAGTAAATAACTCGAATCAATTTGATTATTTAATAATTTAAATATAAACAAGAGGCAGCTATCCCTTCTACGATCACTAAGAGCACTATAGTTGTACAATTTCACTAAATCGCGATAATGTTCATAGCGGGGATACACTCCTGTGAATCTAAAGTGAAGACATCTAATAAATTTACTCTGGATCATTTCAATTGCTGATGTGTGTTTATTAGTATACGGTGACCAAATAATAGCTGCATACTCCAGCTTGGACCGTACGAATGCATAGTATAGTATATTGTAAGATTTCAAGGTTTTAAAATATTGTGACGATCGTAACACAAATCCTAAACTGGAATATGCAGCTTTAATCACATTTTCAATGTGCAACTTGAATGTCAATTTATGATCAAACATAACCCCCAGGTCTTTATGATTGCTTACAACATCCAGTAATTTCCCATGTATATTGTATTCGAATACAATGTTTTGTGCTTTCCTAGAAAAACGCAAACATTTACATTTTGCCACATTAAGGGGTAGTTCATTATCGCTACTCCACTGAACTATAGAATCAAGGTCTCTCTGCAATTTTTTACAATCCAAGACGTTTCTGACTTCATAGCTTAATTTTAGATCATCTGCGAACAACAAGACATTCGCATGCTTTACTACATCAACCAAATCATTAATTAATAATACAAATAACAACGGTCCTAAATTTGACCCTTGCGGTACTCCTGAGGGTGCATTAAATACACTGGATGTAGACGATTTGAAGCTAACAAATTGTTTGCGATGTGAAAGGTAGGACGCAAAAAATTGTATTAAAGCGTTAGAGAACCCAAACCTACACAACTTTCTCAGTAACACATCATGATTTACACTATCGAAAGCCTTAGAAAAGTCTGTATAAATCGTATCATATTGAATTTTATCATGTAGAGCTCTTGAAGCATTATGTGTGAACTCTATTAAATTCGAAATGGTTGACTTTTTTTTAAGAAAGCCATGTTGCTGTTCAGAGATGTGCATTTTAACGTGATTATACAGTCGCTTATGAATTATTTTCTCAAAAATTTTTGCCGGAGCGGATAGAATTGCTACTGGCCGATAGTTTTTAATGTCATTTTTGGATCCAGATTTATGGATTGGGCATACCTTTGTAATTTTCCAAATATCGGGAAATTTACCACATTTTAAGCACAAGTTATACAGTGTTGTTAATGCGGGTACCAGGATGTCTTTACAACCTTTAAAAATATACGGCGGAATTCCATCCGGTCCAGCAGCTTTTTTAGGTTTGAGTTCCTTTACCGCCTCCTCAACCTCACTTTCCGAAACATTACCTATATCTAGAATGTCACATGGCGACTGTTGCTGTTCGCAGATGTCTATTGTATATGTGGAAGGAGTTTGCTTATACACACTGCAGAAATACGTTGCAAACGCGTTTGAAATCTGTTTTGAGCCTGTGTAACTAATATTGTTTAATGTCATCTCCTCTAAATGGTCTGTACTTAACTTTCTATTTTTAATAAACGTCCAAAAAGCGTTCACGTTTGAAATCATTTCAATCTCCGTATTTGGAACATACTTCTCATGTGCGGCATTGATTTCTATTTTTATTCTCTTCCTTAGTTCCTTGAATTGTGTCTCATGAAAATGTCTGTTACTATTATTAGTTTTCATTTTTTTAAAGTGATAATTTTTTATTTTCAAGTCGTGAATAATTTTTTTAGTAAACCAACTGGGATAGTACCGATTTTTTCCAATTTTAGCTCTACGTAACGGAACACACGTATCGAGTGCTTCATAGAAGTACTCATAAAATTTATGTACCGCCTCCTCTGGATTAACCGACATTTGCAATGACGTCCAATTCACGGCGTTCAGGGAGCGCACAAGTTGCAAGAAATCAGCTGCTCTATAATTGTAGTGCCTAGGTTCTATGCCCGTACTTTGGGGAGTTTTTCTACCTTGCCATGAAGTAGTAAATGTTATTAATAATGGTGGGTGATGCGGGTCTTCCGTACTAATAGGATTATCCCTGATAACACTTAGTTCACTATAGGACGATAATACCAAGTCCAATGTACGGTTTGATGTGTTGTGTATATTATTGAATGATGTCAAGTTATGGAGGGATTCAAAACATTTCAATTCTCTTACTATTTTACTATCCTCTTGAAGGTTGGGTATATTAAAATCTCCTACTATAATAAGATGTGAATTGTGAATGCCTTGAATCTCTTCAAATTGATTATAGAACGCGAGGTACTGATCACTGTTTGATCCTGGTTTGAGATATAATGCACATACAATAAATTTTAATGACGACACATTGAACTTTATACATACACACTCGTGTTCCGAAAACAAGGGAATCACCTTCGCATTATATTGCTTGTGGACTGCAATTAATACACCACCAAATCTTTGATTGTCTGGCCTGTCCTTCCTGAATACCATATATCGCTGATCTATTATTTCGGAACTCATAAATGAGCTATTTAGACCAGACTCTGTAAACACAATCATGTCATAATTGCAATTTAATAAATTAAAAAATACATCCTTACACTTACCCCGAATGCTTCTCACATTTTGATAATAAATTAAAAAATCTTTTCTAGGATACAGTGACTTAAAAAATTATAAAAAAAAAAAAATAATAAAGTATACAGAAAAACAATGACCACAATATTCTATAAGATTGAGTAAGAGATATGATACCGTAAAACATGTACTGTGTAGTATGACTAATTTACATTAACATGGCACAGTCTTTTCAGAACTTCTAGATCCTTTTCAGAT